TTGTTGCGAGGCAAGCTAAACAAATTTTGATTTAAAATCTATAATTTCTTGGGGTGAATTAATATTTGCGACAAGTAACTTTACATTATTTGGGGTGAATTTAACAGTAAAGATCCGGAACAAGTAAAGATTGGAAGTTGATTTTACAAATATATATTTCTAGGTGGTACAAGGCTGAAGGGGGAGTGGAGAAAAGTTGGTCTTCACTGTCTATCTTACACCTAGCTAATCCGACTTACATTTTAACATTTACATTTAATAAAAACCTACTGAAGATGGGAAGACCATGTTGTATCTTCAAAGTAAGAATATGTAGTTAAAGACTAGAAGACAACATAAGAGTTTACCTGTTTGTAAAACTAACATTAGAAATCCTTTCTTTTGTTAGACATTTAGCCCTGGAAAGATACAACTATCTTAACTTCTAAGCAATCTCTAATAATTATTTAAGCTTAGATTTTGCGTCCACACCGTAGCTCATTTGGTTAGAGCGCCAGTCTAGTAAACCAGTGTGCAAGAGTCCGTCCGTATCCCTCCAGAGCCTGCGCATTCATTAGTAGGGCACTTCGTAGTGATATAATGGTTAACAAGCTTGTCTCGCTAGATCAGTTACAACTGAGTTAGCGAGTTTGTTTCTCACTGTGTGCTCCATATTTTCAGCCTTGTTCCACATCTAAGCTTGGTAAATCACTACTCAGCTTAGCTTTGTCTGACACAAGATCAGAGTAATGGCGTCAAGTAAAGATTAAACTCGTTACTCTAGGGAATAGTTAAGGTGATGGAATTGACAATCCATGTCATTTTCAGTTATGTCATGTATCTACAGGAATTAAACTAAAAAAATACTATTTATATATTTCCTTTCAGCTATTATTCCTTGACAGAGTTGGCAATTCTAAATGTTAGGCCTACCACGGATACGATTGCCAGTAGTGATGAAAAGAGGTTGAAAACTTTCAAAATACAGTAATGCCTTGAGATACGAGCTTAATTCGTTCCAAGACCCAGCTCATAAGGCAAAACATTCATATCTCAAATCAATTTTCCCAACAAAAAATGTAGTTTACAAACAATGAGATAAAAGAGAACAAAACAAATTGTAAAGAAATAAACTGTACTAACCCATGAAGTTCAGATGAGTCATAGGCCAATTGGCGGGGAAAAGAGAGAGAGGGGGACAACGACAGCTAGCCTAGCAACCGCTAACCTAGCCTAGCAACGGCTAGCTTAGTCTACGATACCGATGATTAACTTTATCACTTAATTTAAATTTTTTTAAAACATTTACATTTTTTCCATTACTGTAACTATTTTTTTTTAATTTTTTAAATTTTATAATTTTTTATCTATCGTCGATGTAGAACGCTCATACTGTCTCACCAAATCCATTGCTCGTATGTCTTCCTAACGTATTTTTTTTATAATTTTCCACTTTACCTCAAGCGAAATCATACGTTTCGGCTTTTCACCACTGTTCTTTGCACTTACTTTCTTCGGACCCATGGTGTCACTAAAGGAATTTTGCAAAATTACGGCAAAAAAGACAACACAACACAACAACGGTATTTCCAGTGCGAGGTGAATACGTGTACTGCGAGTGGAAATACTCTCGAAGCTTGGAGCTCGCTGCACCAACTAGCGGATGCTTAACTGAAACTAAATTCAGCTCGTATCTCAAATCCAAATCAGCCAAACTCCGGCTTATATCTCAAAAAACTCGAACGTCGGTACACTCGTATCTCAAGGCATTACTATAAATTAATTCATCATCTCCGTGGATTTGATATATATTTTTATACACAGAATAATATAATTCGAGAAGACAGAAAAATATACTACGCGCCACGTGGGTGGGTTAAAATTAAATAGTCGATTCGCCATGCGGTTAAGTCACTTTGGAGGTGCAGACTGGACTTCCTGCCGCATCCTGTGATTGAGAGAACAAAAGTGAAAGAGAAAGTTTATATCCTTTCTTTTTATACCACTGATTGTACGACGCCACCTAGCGAAGTTCCTTGACAGGCAAACTGGGGCAATCCCACAGTCTTTGATCTCAGAAGACATCTATTTTAGAACTGATAAGAATCACTGGAATTTGGACTGTTAAATTATCACGGGAATAGTTATGAGGTCTCCCACCAAATGTGAAGAAATTCTCATGTGGCGAGGGATAACTTAAGGTTATAAGAAGGGCGATATTTAGATTACCAGAGAGCCAAGAAAATATTAAATTTGACACGTGAGCGACAAAAATTGTATTTTTCCGACTCTAGCTTAAATCAAATATTTAAGGGGTCAATTTGAGATTTTAAATTCCACTATAAATTTTATTAAAGTTAATGGATGTAATGAACAAGCAATTTTTCTAACAAAAGTAATATACAAGGGAAAATTAAAGTAAAAGGTACAGTTGTATTCAGAGTGCGATGGATAAATTGTCGTCTAAATTACGCAAAAATGAAAATAACACTAATATCTCAATTTAACAAATAAACTTACCAAAATTACACAAAATATCTTTAAATACTAAAGAGTAAATTTATTCAACAAAATCACCATTGGCTCCAATCACGGCCCCCAGACGACTTCGGAATCTCCTGCAACTCTTCTAGACGGTCTCCCTGTTTAAGTTGGTGAATGCTGCTATAATCCTTGCTTTCAGTTCATCTTTGGTGTTCCAAGGATTTTTGTTAGTCTCTCGCTCAACTGCGATCCACACATAATAATCAAGGGGGTTGCAATCTGATGAGTTACGTGGCAGATGTAATGGGTGATGTGGTCGTAGAAATTGTCTGACAGCCATGACTGGGTTCTCCTGCTTGTATGGCATAGTGCAGAGTCCTGTTGTCAGACATAGTGTCTTCCAGAAGCCACCCTCTTGACACACTTGATGTAGGCTTCCGTGTTGAGTCTGAGTCCCCGTGGGAAGATGAATGGAGTCATAAAATCGCCATCACTAGTGATCACTCCAAACACCTTCGTAATCACAATTAGACTCATCCAACTCTTTCTGCACTGTCTTCATATTGACACTCAAACACTCTGTTCGTATTAGAGCTTCCGGTGCTAATACCAAAATTTCAGTACATGTTCATTAATTATTTCCTTTTATAACGAACAGGTTTTTGTTTTTGTCAAAAAAATCTGAGAAAATGTTATTCTTTTTGTAATAACTACCAATATTTTCATGACTAAATTTTACTGACAATGTAAAGTCGGTTTAAAAATAAATTTAAAAAAATGACGGATGACAATATAACAGTACTGAAAAAAATGGCAGAGGCCATAATGGGGCACAAAAATTCACAGCTCCCGCCCGGTCGGGTGTTTCGTGGATAAGACGCGCCAGCCCTGTGTCTGACCACAATAAGGGTGTGTTAGGTCGAAAGACAAGTCATTTAAACCTTTATTAATTTATCGACTATCTATCTTTGTAGCTAGTTATCATCCCAGCTTTTGAGCTACAATGCACTCAAAGGTATTGTAGTTTGGGCACCATGGAATCGTTTACAAGGAAGAACCTCCCAGTTGCCATAAAAAGGAAAATAGTCAGAGAATTATTTGTTGCTTGTAGCTTAATCAGTGTTCCTCAGTATATTTTCACCTTGATGACTTTGTATCACTTTGACAATCAAATGATAATTCCGAAAAAATATTGTATATCATTAGCCTTTTTTTACTTCTCAAACATTCACTTGAGAAGGGAAGATATATATAGAGAGAGAGTAAAAAAAAGTAACCTTTCTCTCGAAATAAATTTGTATAGATTAACTCATAAAAAAAGTATAAATAACGAAGGCAAGAGAAAGATGGCGGATTATGTTTTCATGTAGATGTGAACTTGAAGCTGTCAACCTGAAATCGGATTAAACGTGAAAATTATGGGCTAGCAGAACAGCACAAATGGCAATTGAAGGTTCATTAAGTAAATAGTCATTCAGTGTTGACGGGTGCAATTTTATTGTGAGAAGTAAGGAAATATCTAGGTGGAGATTTATGTAAATCACCAATTACGACGCGAAGGTAAAAACAAAAAAAAAGACACGCAAAATACTATTGTAATTGTTTAATTGTTAAACGTATCGCTCAAAATCAATCAAAATATTTTAATAATTTCTGATAATGGTTCCGTTTGGTTTATTGGCATATCAACTCCTGTGTGAGTTATTTAATGTTGGAATTATTTATTATTAGAAATCAAGGGTTGAAATATGATTCAGAAGAGGAAAGTTTGGATAGAATATTTTACGAGTAATGTAGGAAAATAATTGTAAGATCTTGAGATTATACTTTCATGTAAAATCTGTCTTCTTTCAGGAATTATTTTGGATGAATTGAATTTATTGAAGTGTTATTTAAAGTTGTTTACTTGATAATATTGTTTTTGAATTCAGTTTATACCTTGACAATTCACTGGAATGTATTTCACTGTGTATTGTTCTTGCTATGCAATACACGCTGATGGTTCTTCATTTTTTAGTAGATGGTTATATATATATATGTGTGTGTGTGTGTGTGTGTGTGTGTGTGTGTGTGTGCGTACGTGTGTATGTATTTATTTGAATAATATAGACATATTGTGTCTCCTTCTAAAATAACTATAACAGAGCGTCTTTTAAAAATCACTATTACAACGGAATGCAGATTTTATCGCAGTTAGAATAAGTTTGCCTTTGAAAATTTACCCCTGAAAAAGTCGTAAGTATCGGGTTAAAAAAATTATGGCGCCTTCCTTGATGAATTTCCTCTCAACATCAAGAAACTGATTAAACAACTGGAAAAGATCAGTATAAAAATATGTAAACACAATATGTCTATATTATTCAACAAAACATGTTTGAATGAATATATATTTTGTGTGTGTTGATTATTTCGCTCTAAGCAAAGCGATAAAGCAACTAAGTCGCAAGGAGTTGCTGCGAGTGAAGAAAACTGAGAAAGCTTTACTGAAGAGAAAAGACAATAAAAAGAACAGGATTCGAGGAGACAAGATATTGCAGTTAAATCTTTGAAGCTTGTATTTGAGCGAGAAAGCAAGAAGATGAAAGAGAGTTCCACAGGCGAGATAGATAGATAAGATAAATAGATAGATTTCCACAAGTGAGATAGATAGATAGATAGAGAGAGAGAGAGAGAGAGAGAGAGATAACGTTTATCTGTCTATATTTCTGGAGTCAATCATGGAACCTTTACTGGCTGACTGAATATTATAGCATTAGTTATCTATTGAGTACTTTTGGACAGATGTTCTGCTTGTCATACGTTAAATTGTCGTAATTTTCACATATTTTAGCTCTACCATTATTAATAATAATTATATATATGTTATAATAAACGTTTGGTTGCGAAAGGAAAGGAATAACGAGGATTAGGTTTTCGAACAACGTGTATATGTCTAATATATAGGGTGCCTTAAATAGTTGTCGGAAAATCGGTAAAATGTGAATTTCTGTTGTTGATCATCAGGATTTTATTTCATGTACCGGGCTAGGTTGTTCTAGTTCCGCGTGCCATGCCTCTTCTTGATGTCTCAGTTATTTCTCTTTAATTAAACTCTCCAAGTTTTGGTTCACCACTGCCGTATCCAGGTATTGAACTCAAAACTCTTTGGATCTAGTCACTGGATCTAACCAACGCCTTTATCCAATGGACCTTTTTTTCTTTGTGAAACTAGAAAAATCTACTCCAGTGGACGAAATAAAGGGATTGATTCAAAATTCCACTCATCTGAAGAAGGCCGGAACGTACAACGGCCGAAACGTTGTGAATATGGCAATGAAGATGAGGATAACAGTCCGAATAATGTAAATAATGTAAGTAATCATCATATCTCATCACAGAGATTTAGACAGAAGACTGACTTTTGTTTAGTTTTTACTATAATAATAGTAGTATAACAGAAAATAAGCCTTGAAAATGGTTAACAGTTTAGGCGAAAGCGCTCGTAACCAACAAACATTTGGACAATTTTTTCACTTCTGTCAAAAAATAAGAGACTTGTACATATACAAGAAAAACGTAATAAAAATCGAGTTTTTGATCGTTTAGATCAAAGACTTCAAAGACCTCTTTGATGTGGTCGGATGACCTTACAAAATGGAAGTCTTTCATCCGGAAATTCTGATTAGTTGGTTGGCGCCAAAATTAAACGAGTTGGCTGGTGAAGTCAGATGTTGCAGAGATCCGTTTACTACTATTCGCTAACCTAACATGTAAACTATACTACAAAATCCCAGAAACTTTGCCCTCTTGGCTACTCTAATCATGCAGTAGTATCTGTAATCATCTCTTTCCGCTCCCCAACCAACCAAGAACTTCCTAACAACGTGATTTTCTTCGTGACGTTCCTTGGAATTGTTTTTAATCATCCTGTTCAAAAATACGCGTCTGATGTATCCTCCTGGATGAAACCCAGCATCGATGCTTTCATTCCAGCAAGGAAATACCAAGTTAAACTGCGTTCATTTCCTTGTTTCTCACTTGCATGCTCGGCCGCTATATCTGATTGCAACAGATGTCTTTGTCTCTGCTCGTGATGAATGCAAGCGTGTCCTCATTAAAGCGAAGTTACTGTTTGCTGATAGAATGAAACAACGTATAGCATCTCCCAAGTTGTGCGGTAAAAGGTAAACTATGTTTACAATTTATTTTTTTGATTTAATAAGAATATTTTTTTAATCTGATAATTTTAAAATTTTAAAAACGGCAAGGACACGTAGATCTTTATATAAACCCTGTTTTCTATGCTTACATGAGAAGCTGTATATTATCACATTAAAAATTCTTATTAAATCAAATGAATGAATTAACAGTAAATTGTAAACATAGTTCACCTTACATTTTAGTTAATCTTTGGAATTTGATTATACTTTTTCTTATATTTATATTTTAGTTGTACTGCGTTGCAACATATATGGCTTATCTTTCTATTTGTAAGATTAATTTGGATTTTATATAATTTTGTATTATTCCCCTGGTAGTATTAGTAACATATTGTACGGATATATTGGTATTTGGTTGGTATTTTTGACATTTTAAATTGAATGGTTAATGTTATTAACACCTTATATGAAGAATCTTTATTCAACAGTTGCATATTGATTTACCAAATAATTCTATACGTTTAAATTATTTACTAGTTTCTTAAAGAAGCTATTTATTTATCAACTATACATTTTTTTTATGTAACTCACAAAGCATATAATTTGTTTAACGTTTTGCTAAATTACCTCTCACCCCATTTTTATTTCTTAGGTAATAGTATTGTCTAGTTTGTATAATTTATGTATCCATTTATGTATCCATTTATGTCTGGTTGTCGTTAGCTTCCATTTATAAAAAATAATTTTTTAATTTTTGCTTTTTCGCTTAGTTGAAATTTGACGTAGGTCATATTTGATTGGTTGATTAAAGTAAAGCCCACAAACTTTATAACCATTTACCGTTTTTCTTTTTTTGTAAAAAGTGATTGTATTTTGCTTTTAAATCTAAATAAATCGTTCACTCGCCAGTAATTTACAATCGTCTGATGCGATGAATTGATACGCATCGAAACACGACTGAAGTTGTGTAACGATTTAGACAGGTTTTCGGTCTAATATCCTTAAAAATAATATTGCTCTACTTTGTATTGAGCCTTCTTTTTAAATTAAATCTTACGAACGTTGGAATTGTACTTTATTCGTTCTCATCTTACATATATATATATATATATATATATATATATATATATATATATATATATATATATATATATTATAAATATATTGATTTAAAATATGGTTTTTTTTCGCTACACAGTTCTAACTATGTTTCAAAAATGGAAGCTAAAAGCCACGAATTTAATTTTGTGATTAAATTAAAGACATTAGTTCCATTTCATCCTCAAGCGAATTTTGGAGTAACTTTTTAAAATTACTGGGTTTTAAATACACAATTCGTGGCTTTTAGCTTCCATTTTTGAAACGTGGTTAGAACTGTGTAGCGAAAAAACCATATTTTAAATCAATTAATTTATAATATTAATGCTCTGTAAATTTACATTGAGCACTATTTTGTAAAAATAAAAATATCTATAAGAACACCGGATTATATATCTTGCTGTTCTTTCTTTTTTTATATACATACATACATACATATATATATATATATATATATATATATATATATATATATATATATATATATATATATATACACACACACGAACAAGGCCACAATGTGCTAACCGTATTCGGAAATTAAAAACATCTGTGCAACACACTAAAACATACACAATGCATACACTCAATTAAGCTGAAAAATTGAATCATCCTTGATAATGGCTAAAGGTATAGCCGAAAGCGCTCGGATCTATGAAATATTTGGACAGTTTTTACACACTTTTTGTCCAGAAAAGAAAGCTCTTGTTCGAACACAAGAAAAAATAAATAAAAAGCTTAACCGTAGTACCTTGTCTGTCGATTTTAATGAAACATGCATAAACGAAAGATTGCTGCCTAAATATATATATATATATATATATATTTGATTTTTTTGTGTGTAACAATTGAGGATCAGTGTGCAAAATGACCCCATTCACGTTCACATTCAAAAAGCTGTGGCGCTAACAAACTACAAAGCAAACCCCTTCTTTCCCTCACTCTGCGAACAACGATCAAAGCGAAAGGAGTGATGGAAAGTAAGAATGAAAGAAAGATAGAGAGAAAGAGGGAGGGATAAAAATGGATAAAGAGAGGAGATAAATATGTCAGACAAAACTTGGCCAAGGTTTATATTTTATTTCAGCTTTGATTAAACTTCACATAAAGTTACTTTTCTTCGAGGTGTCTTGGATTGTGGGATCGACTATCACTAGCGATGATGTTCTAATTTCTCAGCAAATTTGTCTCTCAAGAACACCCAAAGTGTGTCCCAAAAACGCGCGTACACAGTGAGGATAAAATAAGGATATCTTTCCTGAGGTGTTTAGAAATTGTACACTGTTCAATTATTAATGTAAACAACGAACTATTTTAAATTACAAAATTCTACTTGGATTCATTAAACGAAAATTACTTACAATATAATATATATTACTTATAATACATTCCTTCTTGGCGTTAATTTTGAGGGCACGGGTATATATATATATATATATTTATTAAAGACATATTTTATGTTTAACGTTGTTATTTTATAGATACAAGTATTTAAGCAAATGCTCTGTTTATGATAAACAGTATTAAATAACATTTACCGGCCTGAATGTCCGAGAAATTTTCATAGAAAATTTTCGTTCTTTGACAGGATTCGAACCTGCATCCTATACGGAACCGTCATATACGCTGACGTGCCTTACCGCTTAGGCTACAAAGAAGCGTTCGGTAGACAAGGTCGAATTTACTGCTTATAAACTCCAATTTTCCATGAATCTCGTACATTCATAACTGCACTGGCGTATCGAATAGAAACAAATGACGTCATATATTAAGAAATGAACAAGGTCCGACAATTTATTTATTAAAGACATATTTTATGTTTAACGTTGTTATTTTATAGATACAAGTATTTAAGCAAATGATTGTTTATGCATAAAACCGGTTCCGTATAACATTTTCCGGTCAAATGTCGAAAATTTTCATGAAAATTTTCGTTCTTTGGTAAATGTTATTTAACCTGTTTATCATAACCGGTTTGTATAAATGCTTGTTCTATAAAATAATAACGTTAAAACATAAAATATGTCTTTTAATAAATAAATTGTCGGACGTTGTCCATTTCTTTTATATATATATATATATATATATATATATATATATATATATATAATCACAAACCCAATTCATCATTATGATTCGACAGTGCTTTAAAGGCAAATTTTTTAAAAGCTATCTTCTTTCAGAGCTTATGCGATTATGGGTCTCCATAGATTCTTTTTCCTTATTATCTGTGAATTTCATGACTTCATGAAAATGAAAGCGGGGTAGTTTCCCATTTAAGAGATGGATCCAGGCATCATTGCAAAAGTAAACGAAATTTGACGGGAATTTGAACTCGGCTCGCCGATTCCATTGTCCCCTCACCGATAACAATTATGCTATACACATATATACAGTGGCTGCTTAGTAGAACAGAAGCACTCAGTTGATGCTCTCAGCCAGTGGTACCAGAGCCGGTACGTGAACCA